CCTTCTCCATCATGTTGCTGCCAACTGGAGGTTAGACCCAAGCCTGGGTCAGCCTGGGCCAAGCCTGGGTCACATTCAGACTGGACCCTGTGGGAGGCAAAAATACTTCCTTAAGGAGTCTGTCATCAAATACCAGATAGTCTCTGGCACGTTAGTGGTAGCAGTTGGGTCAGTCCATTATAAAACTGCAGAGGGGAGAATTTTGAAAGACAGTGGAGAGTGGAATTGCTGCAACGTGGGGTAAAGGGAAGAGGCAGTATTGGAATCAACCCAGGATCCGGGGCTGTGGACCAAGCAGGCTTGAGTCTGGCTGTGTCACACACCGCGTGATCCCAGGTCCTGCCTCATGCTCTGATCCATGGTTTCCTGTCTGTAAAGTAAAGGCACTGTAGTACTGTGACAGCGCCTGGAGGACACAGGGCAGCTCTGCAGTAGCTGCTCCCGCAAGCTCCACCCGTGCCTTGCCCATCTCCGGGTTACAGGCACCGTGAGGACAGGGCCACGCTGTGTCCTCCCCAGTGTCCAGCACACACGGGCACTGCCCAGACATCTGCAGAGGAGTAGGGACCATCAGAGGGGGTGGGGAAGGCAGGCAAGGCGTCTGTGGTTGGGAATTCCACGCAGGCAGTACTCCTGGCCACGTCAGTGAGTGTGTGCTGGCCACTGGGGTTTGGAGCTGAGGAAGAATACTGTTAACAGCTGCCTTGCTTTTGTCCTCCGCCCACTGACCCCCTCGGGCCTGCCCTACTCTCATCAGGCCTTGTCCCTCCCTCCTCCTCCTGGACAGTGACCCCTGGCAGGCGCCCTCATACTGCTTTCCATGCACACACATGAAGCCAGCAGACCAGCGGGGTCTGTGGCCCTGACCATGCTTTTTCCTCTTCTGTCCTGTGGTCCCTGCAGACTTCGGTCCAAGCCCCAATCCTGGCTCAACCGTTCTCTCAGCTGTGTCTCCCTTCTGTGGGCCAGTGACACTGGCACCTGGGCACCTTCCGCCTTTGCCACTTTGAGCCATCACAGCCCGCCCGGACCTGCTGCTTCCTTCCCAACCAGGGTTCTCACAACTGTTGCCAATCCTCTTGGCCTCCCGCTTCATCCTCAGCAAAGCGCAGCCTCAGGAAGTGGGCCACACCCAGACGCAAGCTTGGGGTAGCCCATGCTCAGTCATTTGGGGCATGTGACAGGGCGATGTCTTTCCTCACCGACTCTCTGCACTTCCTTCCATGGGGCCACACACCCCACTTGTCTAATTCCTCAGCCCCTTCGTGGTCTCTTCCTCCTCCTGCCTCTCCTCCGTTTGTCCTGTTCTGCCAGGAGGTGTCCATCCCTAAGACCTGAGTGACCACTTAGATACCATCAGCTTCATGTTCACATCACTAGCCCAGGCAGGATTTCCTGGGTGCCCACGGGGTGGCGGGCAGGACTGTCCTGAGCACTGGGACGTGGAGGTGAGGAAGCCAAATTAGAGCTTGCTATCTCTAGGGCAGGGTAGGTGGAATTAGCGGGGAAAGCAAGAAAAGAAAGACAAGCCCACTTCGGATTCATGGAATAAGGAAAAGCAAGTGGAATCATCTCTGGAAGAGGGGGGAAGGAACTTGGGACTCTTCATGTTGTACATAGCGGAACTGCCACATAGAGACCTCAAACAGTATGGTGTCACTTGAATTTGTTCCTCTCATGTAGCGGTGGCCCTCCCACAGTCCCCCAGTCTGTTTTGGCCAAAGTGGAGCGCTCTCCCTGGGCCCCTCCCTCACATCCTCCCTATCTTCCAGCACTCTTCATTTACCTGAGTGTCTCGAACTGTCCTGTCTGCCACATTTCCCTGACACGGCTGCCCAAGCTCATGTCTTCACCTCTTGTTTAGACTACCAGGCAGGACCTCCTCTGAGCTCATGTGCCCCCCCTCCTGAGCCACACTGGCCTTGTAGAAAGGGAGATCTGCTCCTGCCATTGCCCTGTGACACTTCTGACTTGCCTCCTGGCTGCCCTTCAGATGGCTATCAGAGCTCTCGCCTGGGCCAGGCACCTGCCCACAGCGCTGGAGGCCCTGTGGCCCGGCTGAGCCTGTGCAGGCCCCATGGCTCCCTCCTCAGAGAATCCCTCTCTAGCCTGGCAGTCCCCAGGGTACCCACAGACCTCACAGAGGTAGCTGAGCCAGAAAGGCCCTGCCCTCCTGGGGGGTTCACAGTCTGTCAGGAAGAAAGCTGGCTACCTCATAGTTGACAGAAGACTAAAATGACATTGTGCTAGGGCTGAGAGCCCCTGACATGGCATAATACGATGCAGGACCCCACTGGCTAGTGCTGTGCTGGTCCTCTGAGGAGAGAAGAGAGCCACTGATTGCCACTGAGGGATATAGACCTGAGGAGCCAGGGAGGATGATGGGAGGCCTGGGAAGAGGTTTTATACCTGGCATGAAGCTAGCGGGAACTGGACTGTCATCACAGTGGGTTAGGAGTGGGCAGGAGATGATTTTATTCTGGAAGATCATTCTGCCTCTTCTAGGTCGAGGGGTCTGGAGGGAGCCAGAGTGAGGCAACAGCAGGGCTCAAGGGAGAAGAGCCCTTTCGTGGGTGTCCACAGGTCTGAGGATGAGTTTTTATTTTCTCAGACGTTCAAAAGCTCACTTCAACATGTTTCCCTACAAGGGCTGTCTTACCTGTGGATTTGACCTAATTATGTGCGTGGCTTACCAGATCACCAAGTGTGGCCGTACACCCGTGGTTATGTAAGGTGCTCTTAGGGTAGGAAGTAGCCAGGGAGTTGGTTTTGTTCATCTCTCTACCCATTATATGTGCAACACTAGATCAGCCATTGTAACAAAATGAAAAGGAGATAGAGAGTGTGATCTACTGGATCATGTGTGTGTGATTTAACATTTAAAACAAGGACAGTTTCTGGGAGTAGCTCTCGGTGACTGGAGTTTTCTAAGGGCATCCCAAGAAAGCTGAGCAGATGCATTTTAAGTGGGGCATTCTGTGGAGGAGTGCGTTACAGGAGGGGTAAGGAAGAGGGCTTTCGTGATCAGATGTAGAATGACAGATGTTGTGTTAGTCAGTGTCTCGTCACTGTAACAATACACCGACACAGGCTGCTTATGAAGGGAAAGATGTGCACAGCTCAAGTTTTGGAGATTCGAGGGCAGAGTGCCTGCACTGGCTCAGCTCTAGTGAGGGCCCCTGGAGTCAGATGGCAGGGGAGGGAGTGTGTGTCAGAGTGGGCAGTCATGTTTCAGACCAGCAGCAGAGAGTAGGAAGGCCCCACCGTCCCTCCAGAGGGCACACTGCCAGGGACACAGAGCCTCCCAGTAGTCCCACCTCCTAAAGACCCACACCACCTGCAGCACCACCACCTGGGGGCCAGATTCCCAACACAGGCACCTTTGCGGGGAACATAAACCAGATTCAAGCTGTAACGGATGTCAAGGCCAAAGCCTCGGAAAATACATTTTGACCCAGAAGCCCCAGGCTATGGGAGGGAAGGGAATGGGAACGTAGACTGCTTACCCCTAGGTCAGAATTCTGTGTGCCATGATGAGTAGTTTCATCTTGGAAAACGCTTTCCGAGTATTCTTAAACAGCTTATGAAAAAATAGAGCAGCTCTTTCTGCTTCGGACAGTTCCATTAGGGAGGAGGGCAGATGTGTTCAGGGCTTGAGTTGGAGTGCCCAGCCCTGTGGCCCTGCGTAATTGGAATGGGCTGGGGCATTTGTGCTGTGGGTTAGAACTTGGTGACTTTTTGTAACGCACATCTGCGCAGAAACGAGCCCCGCCGCTTTGGGCAGACAGAGGAAGGACCGCGGTGCACGTGCTGGGTGAACCGTGGAGGCCGACACTTGCATGGCAGTGGTAGTCGTCACTGCTCGGTGAGGTGGCAGCAAACATGGCATGCTGTCCTCTGGTCATTGCCCAGGAAGCCCACCAGTGGGGGTCCCAGGCCAAATGAGCTCCGGGGTCCACATGGGCCCGGGGGGGACAGAGGACCCTGGTCGCTCTGCCGTGTGTGTCTGTGGCCTCTCCCCCACGGGTCGTGAGTACCTGAGCGCTGCACTGTGGCCGCCACAGGGCTTGGACGCCTGAGGGCAGCAGTGCTGTCTGGAGATGAGTGCGTGAGTCAGGCGCATGGAGGTGGATGAGTGAAAGAGAGGCCAGGAGGAAGAGCTGCTCCTGGCCGCGGGGAAGCTCCCTTATATAGCCTTCACTGAGTTCGGAGGGCTGAGTGCTGAGCTTGTGATGAAAACCTGTCATTTTAGGAGGTGTCCACCATATTTGCTACCATATTTGTACAAAGGACCACAAACCTAATGGCTTACACTAACAGCACACTTAACCATCTTATAGTTCTGGAGTCCTGAGTCTGATGTGGAGCTGAAGAGAAGGTCTGAGCAGGCCTGCGCAGCCTCTGGAGGCTGCCGAGAAACCCTCTTCTCACCCTGCGGCTTTTAGAGGCTGCCTGAGCTCTGGCTGCCGTCTCCTCCTGGCCTTCACAGCCAGCAGACAAGGCCTCGGCTCTCTCTGCTCTCTGACCTCTTCCACATCTCATGGTCTTCCCTGCTGGCCCTGCTGCCTCCCTCCTGAAAGGACTTGGCTGATGACTGTGGGCGCATATGATAACCAGGGTCTCTTCCCATCGCAAGCCCCTGAACTTAGTCGCATCTGCAGTCTCTTGCCAAGACACGTGTTCACAAGTGTGAGGGCTTAGGCTGTGCTGGGGGTGGTGGGTCGTCATGCTCAGCTCACCCTATCAGCCTCTGTGGGCAAATACTTAGAATTCAGAGTCTGGAGGAGACAGAGAATAGGTATCCCTGAGAGCTTCTCACAGCCTGGCACCGCTGGAGGTGGGCTGCAGCCTGACCCACCAGCAGCAGCAAGGAGTCGTGTCCACTGTGGAGTGAGAGGCTCTGTCCCGGACCAAGATTTGTGTGCATTCTTTTGCTAATTTTGATCATGCTATATATACAGCATTTTACTTAATCATTTGTTTTTATTTTATTTTGGAAGCAAATTTCCAGCAGAAAAAACAGTGTTTTGGCTGTCCAGTCTTCAACATCTACTAAAATAAAAGCACCACCACCCCCCCCTCAGCCCACGGCGAAGAAAGACAAACGGCAGAATTCATCACGGTTTAACGCCACTAATAGAGAACTGCAAAAACTACCATCTTTGAAAGGTAAATTTTGTAAAAGTTAAACTTGTGGCTATTCGGGAGAAAGAGTTATGTCTGGGTAGTTCGTTAGCTTCTTATTCCTTTGCTGTGTTTATATTTTGCGGGACCTTTTTACTTGAGGTTTTCTTAGATTGAATGCATTGACTTATTTACTCAACTAACATTTTAAAATTTTGGGAGTGTTAAGATAAAAATCTAATAGTGAGTGTATTATAAGTATACAACACTAAGAAAACAGGAAATAAAGCCTTTTCATACTGATTGTGAGCTAGCCAATTTTTCTTTCAAGTAATATTCTAGGTTAGACCTTTTAATAATTCAGGAAGGAGTTTTTACAAGTAGAATAATTGTAAGTTATAGTAGAACCTGTTCATTCTTCTGATGTTAAAGCAGTAAAGAAGTAAGTGTGGCGTGGCAGCACATGCCTGTAATCTCAACACCCAGGAGGCTGAGGAAGACCAACGTGCATTCAAGGCCAGCCTGGGCTGCACTGTGGGTTCAAGGCCAGCCGGGACTACATAGCGAGATCTCATCTCAAAACAACAAAACAAAACAAGAGAAAGAAGTAGCTGTAATGTTTTGGGGGCTTTCTTTGTTATGATTCATTTGGAAATCACCTCTAACCAAGATTCTTGGTCTGAGGTTAGGCAGGGAAAAGTGCTCACATGGCCTAGTGCCCCTTTCTGAGTGTGTTCAATCCCAGAAGTTTTCCTTCAGATTTTGAAATTGAGGTGTTTAAAACCTTATCGAGAAAATTAGGGTAAAGACCCTACAGTCCTTATGAAAGGTTTCCTTCTGAAAACCTCTGTATTTGCAAAAATAGAAGACTGGTACACTAAATTTAAAAAACATCTTCCATACCTTAAATCTGTAATAGTGGGGTTCTATAATTAACTGTCACTGAGTATACACTCAGTGAGAGTAGGGGTTTATCTTCTTTATCCCTGTATCCTGAGTATCTCCCACACCTTGGGCACAGAGGGAATGTTGGGCAGGCGTGTTGGGGAGAGGGATGACTTGGGGGAGCAGATGGACACATGGGTGATGGGTGGATGAATGGGTAGATTTATGGATCAGTTCTTGCTCTTTGCTTGCTAAATCCTCAGGCTCCGCACTCACTGCATTTTTCAGGGCTTGTATTTGCTGTAGCTTTGTGGTAGATAGCAGACATACTGCTTTACTTTTGGTGGCTCTCCTCCCTCCCAGACAGTCTGTGCCTTTCTGATGCTGCTCACTCCCAGCCAGCAGATGTCCACTGGTGCCTGTGAAAGAAGGCCCTGTTCTAGGTCCTGGAGGCGCCCCGCACCGAACAAAACTAAGCCCCTGCTCTCCTGGATTCGGATGTTTGGGAGTATTGAGCCTTCATGTTCCAAGCCCGTCCCTCACTCCCGTCATGCCTGGAGTCTGGCCTTTGCTGTAATGAGGGCGCGCTGGGTACCCTTGCCCCTTTCGTGCACAGATCAGAGCTCAGGCAGGTTCCAGCACAGGCCCAGGTATGCTTCCTGTCTTCCTTTCCTCTTCTGGGAGTCTGCACACAGCTCTTTCTCCAGGCTGTTTGCTCCGCTTCTGGTTGTTGCTATCAACCTCCATTCCCTCCTTTTCTCACGGGAGCTAGTAAGAATGGTATGCAGTGTTCTTCCGCTGACACTGAAATTTCCCATTCCACAGAAGGGAAATTCCGTAGTTAGTCCCCATATCCAGGAGCATTTCACACTGACCAAGCCAGTTCCTCTTACTAGTCCTGTGGGATAATTCTTTCTCAGGTATTCTAAAATATCAGTTCCTCCGTGTGTGGACTACAGTAAAACATCTAGTTCAGAAAATACAGGAATTGATTGACAGCACAATAAAGTTATATATGAATTTGAGGAAGATTAACACTCATGATACCTTTTTCCCTCCTGAGAAGATTGTTTTTCTCTGCATTTTTTATTAAAAGATTTTTGTGGGGCCAGGCATGGTGACACACACCTCTAATCCCAGCGCTCAGGAGGCTGAGGCAGGAGGATCATCGTGAGTTTGAGGCCAACCTGGGCTACATAGTGATTCAAGGCCAGCCTGAACTGCAGAGGGAGACCCTGTCTCAAAAAAAAAAAAAAAAAAAAATTGTGGTTTTCCTGTAAACCTCTACCTTTTCACTAAATTTAGTCCTAAATGTTTGGTAGTTTTTGTCATCCTTGTGACTGGATTATATTTTTTTCCATTTCTGCTTCAAGTTGGTTTTTGTTAACTGAAAAGTGATTTTCTTACACCATTATCTTAACGAATTTTCTTACTGACTCTAATGATTCTTTTACTAGGATCTATCCAAATAGTCCTGTCATTGGTAATTAGCTCTTTTATGTTTCTTCCAGTGTTTATACCAATATATGTGAGTTGCTCTAATCTTATTATACAGCTACCAGGACCAATTAAATAGAGGCAGTGAGGGGAGAGCAGGCTTCCTGTTTGTTCTATTTTAGTGAAACACTTCAGCATCACTGCACGTAGCGTAAAGGAGGCTCTTGGTTCTGGAAGTCTTTAGCAGGTGGGCAGTGGGGGTCCAGGCTCCAACCCATGTGGCCCCAATGGGTGGTGTGGACTGGGTGGTCCTGTACCAGGGCATGGTGAATCTTACCAAGTGCCGTGTGATTTTTCTCTTTAAAATGTGAAGGCAGTGTGAGCTTTCCCGAAGGCGAGCCGCAGGTTTCTGTGCAGCCCCTTCACACTGCCCTCTCACAGTGCGGGTCGGTGCAGCAGGGTCTGGGGCTAATGACTCGTGGAATGGGCAGGGTTAAAAGGCTGCCTGAGGACCCACTGGGTGAGCGCGCGCCTCTGCAGGCGTGTACAGCTTCCCTCTGCCTGGGTCCCTGTAGAGTGGGTCACACTGTAACCGGCGCGGGTGCTGTGTAAGGGGTCTTTTCATCTCTTCTGCACCTGCAGTGCTTATGTCTCCTTAGGAGTTTGTTTTCTTTTGACTGTTTTGTTTGTGTTCAGTATCATTCATCTCCACCCTTTACTTTTTTTTATATATCTACCCTTTTTAATTATCCTCTTCTTTTATCCTTTTCCTCATTTATTAAGTCAGATACAAGGGCCAGGGATATAGTTCAGCAGCACAGCGCCTTACCTGGCGAGCGCAAGCTCCTGAATTCGATTCCTGGTACAAAAAAAAAAACTAAGTCAGAGTTCACTTATTTTCAGGTTGCTTTTTAATAATCAAAATATTAAAACCATGTATTCCTCTGAGAATACCTTCAACTGTGCCTAGTTTTTTTAACTGTTCATTAGAGTTTTATTGAGGCATAATTTACTTGCCCTAAAATTCACTCATTGTAAGTGGAAAGTTCATTTGTGTTGAGTTGTGTGACCCCAGTGCCCCAGTTCTGGAACGTTTCCATCACCCTCGGCAAGTTCTCTCTCGCCCATTTGCAGTTCACTCCTGCTCCCATCTGCAGCCTCAGGCAGCTGCTGGTCCACTTCCTGTCTCCAGATTTGAAACCACACAGTGTGTGGTCTTCTTTTTTAAGTGATTGATCTTTATGTTCATCAATTTTCAAAGTAATAGCTCAATATCTTCCTGTGATAAGAATCTTTGTTTTGTTTTAATTGACACATAATAACTGTAATACTTGTGGTGTACAGTGTGATAATTTATAAGGACAAATTGGTGAAACCTGTTTGTACAATTCTATGAATTAATATTTATAATTAAAAAATAAAAATAGAATCAGGGTAGCTAGCATTTATATTTCCTAAAACATTTACAATTTCTTTGTGTTTCAGAATCTTCAAACTCTTCTAGTTATTTTGAAATAATAATAAGTTGTAACCTAGCCACCCTACTACCCTACAGAACCCTGGAACTTTTTCCTCTCATCTGACTGTGTTTCAACACCTGTCACCCAGCCCCTCTCTGCTGCCCTGCTCTCTGCTCTCCTCAGCCTTCAGTGTTTACTCTTCTCTCAGAGTTTCCACACATTAGCGAGAACTTGCAGCATTTGTCTTCCTGTGTCTGGTTCATTTCATTTCATGTCCTCCAGTCCTGTCCATGTTGCCACAGAACGCAGGATCCCATTCTTTGTGTGGCTCGGTAGTGTTCCACGGTACGTATGCACCACATTTCCTTTGTCCACTCATTCTCCGTAGGCATCTCAGTTGATTTCCTATCTTTGCTTTTTAACATGGGAGTTCAGATGTTTTGTAGCGTACTGATTTCATTTCCTCTGGATGTTTACCCAGAAGTGGGATTGCTGGGTCGTATGGTCATTCTATTTTTAGTTTATTGAGGTACATGTATGCTGTTTTCCATAATGGCTACACCAATTTATGTTTCCACCAATAGTATATAAGTTCATATTTCCCTGGTGATTAGTGATGTTGAGAATTTTTTCATCTACTCACTGGCCATTTGTATATTTTCATTTAAGCAGCATTTACTCAGACTGTTTGCCCCGTTTAAAAATCAGACCACTAAGGATTTTTTTCTCCTGAGTTTCTTTCATATTCTGTGTATTAGTTCTTCATCAGAGGAATAGTCTGCAAACACTTCCTTCCATTCTGTAAGTTGTTTCTTTTGCTGTGCAGGGACTTCTTAGTTTGATATAATCCCATTTGCCTTTTTGCTTTTATTACCTCTGCTTTTGGGATCTTAGCAAAAACTGTTTGCCCATACCAATGTCTCAAAGTGTTTTCCCTATGTTTTCTTCCAGTAATTTCATAGTTTCAGGTCTTACATTTAAGTCTGTGGTCCACCTTGAGTTGATTTTGATAGATAGTGAGAGACAGGGTTCTGGCTTCATCCTTCTGTATGTGGATATCCAGTTTTCTCAGAACCATTTACTACACAGATGGTTCTTTCTCTAGGGTATTTTCTGGATATTTGTGGTAAATCAATTGGCTATGGGTGTGTACATTCATTCCTGGGCTTTCTGTTCTGATGCATTGGTCCACGTGTCAGTTTTTATGCCACTGCCCTACTGTTTTGATTATGTAGTTTTATAGTATATTTTGAAGTTAAGTAT